AATATGTGTATATACATATTGGACAACTCTTCATACATACTAGCGCAATCAACTACATTTACAACCTCACCAGTCTCACTCACCTTTACTCGTGTTACTAACTTATCGTTGTGAAAGCTGACCTGCCCGACCGCCATGTCCCCCGTTTTTAAGAGATTGGACCATGGGGTATACACCACGTCACATTCGGCCAATTTACACCCCTTTATACTGTTTGCTTTTACAAGTTGTCCACAGTCCTGTATATAGCGCGTATAGCAAGTTTAGTGGGGTATGCAAATATACGTCTATTTTTCATGATCAAATTCTGAACCATTTATCTTGACTGAGTAAATTATTTAGGATGGGTGTGAATCTGAAGTATATCCGCATATGCAGCAGTTCGAAACATACTTCTACGAGCGCGGCAGGAACGTCAGCAGGCTTCTGCCCCTCTGCCAGGCGAATGTACACGTGGGCAGATGATAGCTTGTCGACGTGGAACCAAATGTCTTCCGGGTGACCAAAGCGAATGAGCTCTTCATTTTCCACCTTGAAGATATGATAATGATCGGATATATTCAGAAGTGCCATAGGCCTTGGTAATTCCTTCCGTGTCTAAATTTAGTGAGGATGGAGACTCGAAACGCACAAGACACGTGACAACTACACAGATGTATGCACTCTTACAGGATGCTCTACTGGCAGTGGCGACATGGAGATGCCCCGCACAAGTTGAAGATGGAATATACATGACGATATCCTGAGACAGATATACATATGTATGCAATAATAAAAGAATGTCCATACATACAGAGGTGGGTGGTTGCAGTAAGTGAACATGAAGTGTTTCACAACACGATGATGAGACCCACTATCATACTTAAAAAGTACAATTGTCTACGACGCACGACACGTGCGAAAAGATACAATACCAACACAATTTTGAACAGCAAATCAATTGACGTGATAGAGAAAAACGGGATATACTTCATGAGCGCATCCAAGAAACAATACATTTTCAATTCTATTTGTCGGGCACAGTGTAATATAAATGACTTGCATAATGCGTGTATTCATCGATAATTGAATTTGAAAGACTTAAACGAACAATAACCTTATGCAATTCAATTGTGAGCGCATTTGATGGTACGAGATGGTATAGTACCTTCGTATATATGCATATATATATATATATATATATA